TTGTGTGTGTGTGTGTGTGTGTGTGTGTGTGTGTGTGTGTGTGTGTGTGTGTGTGTGTACTCACCTAGTTGTACTCACCTAGTTGTGGTTGCAGGGGTCGAGTCCCAGCCCCAGCTGCTGGCCCCGCCTCTTCACTGGTCGCTACTAGGTCACTCTCCCTGAACCGTGAGCTTTATCATACCTCTGCTTAAAGCTAAGTATGGATCCTGCCTCCACTACATCGCTTCCCAAACTATTCCACTTCCTGACTACTCTGTGGCTGAAGAAATACTTTCTAACATCCCTGTGATTCATCTGTGTCTTCAACTTCCAACTGTGTGTGTGTGTGTGTGTGTGTGTGTGTGTGTGTGTTCATTTGTCTATCGTCTACAGGATAAGTATGGGCACATAACGATAGCAAATCAGAAGATACACCACCCATTGTAACACTTATCACCATGTGTGTGGACAACTCATTACCAATGCATCGCGTTTCCACCCCTGGCTAATGAGAACTCTCTGATTATATCTTCCTTTACAAAAAGAAGGCGAATATATTCTTAAAAATTCGTCTACCAATGAATTTAAGAAAAATGTCTGATTTAGTTCTAGCTGGTAGATTTACATCTAGACTTTCTATGACCTCCTTACAACTCCCATGCTAGCTGAGACTAAATTTCCTTTAATTGGTCTAGTATATTCTATATGTGATTTTTAGGTTATTCTCAGTTAAGAGTACCTAGGGACGGTTAGAAAGCTTACCCACTCAACACAAGTATGTTTTAGTTATTTTGCTGAACCTCTTTGTCATTACATAATTATTACAGAAAGTTATTTCTGTTTTCCCGTTGCTTAGATTTGATGCCACTCCATGAAGCTAATTTAATAGGGCGAATCAAGTGAGTTATTTAATATAATTCTAGTAACTTAGACCCCCCCCCCTTCATGAATATTCACTCAATTTATCTTTACCTGCATCATTCGTCTTAAGGTGGCTAGCATGTGTTGTTACAAAAGCTCCATCTATCTATGGATGTTACACCGGGCGCCCATTGCATTCCTTGCACGTTAAACAGTTCTTGTAGCATTCACTGGTTTACAGTGGGCTTAGTTAAGTTTTATTACGAAAATACGACCATATACCTGGAGTGTACCTGGAAAAGGTTTCTGGGATCAACGCCTCCGTGGCTCGGTCTGAGACCAGGCCTCGTGGTGGATCAGGGTCTGATCAACCAGGCTGTTGCTGCTGGCCGCACACAAACTGACGTACGAACCACAGCCCGGCTGGTCAAGTACTGACTTGAGGTGCCTGTCCAGTGCCTTCTTGAAGACAGCCAGGGGTCTATTGATAATCCCCCTTATGTGTGCTGGGAGGCAATTGTACAGTCTTGGGCCCCTGACACTTACTGTGTTGTCTCTCAATGTACTCGTGGCACCGCTGCTTTTCATTGTGGGAATGTTGCATCTGCTGCCGAGTCTTTTGCTTTCATGGGGAGTGATTTTCGTGTGCAAATTTGGTACTAATCCCTCTAGGATTTTCCATGTGTATATTATCATATATCTCTCGCCTACATTCCAGGGAATACAAATCAAGGGACTTCAACCGGTCCCAGTAATTTAGGTGCCTTATCGTCCTTATGTGTGCCATGAAAGTTCTTTGTATACTCTCCAGGTCAGCAATTTCGCCTACATTGAAGGGGCAGTTAGCGTACAGCAGTATTCCAGCCTAGAGAGTAGAAGCGATTTGAAGAGAATCATCATGGGCTTGGCGTCCCTAATTTTGAAGATTATCATTGTCCATTCTATCAATTTCTTAGTCGATGCGGTAGATACATTGTCGTGGTCTTTGGAGGTGAGATTCTCTGACATTATCACTATCGGATCTTTCACATTACTTTTTTACTCTATTGTCTGGTTAGAATTTGTTGTATACCCGATACAGTTTAATTTCCTCAAGTTTTCCATGTCTGAGTAGTTGAAATTTCTCTTCATTGAACTTCATATTGTTCTGAGTGGCCTATTTGAAGATTTGGTCGATGTCCGCTTGGAGTCTTGCGGTGTCTTCGATGGAGGACACTGTCATGGCAATTCAGGTGTCATCCGCATAGGAATACACGGAGCTATGGCTTACATTTCTGTCTGTGTCAGATATGAGGATGAGGAATAGGATGTGAGCGAGTACTGTGCCTTGTGGAACAGAGCTTTTCACTGTAGCTGCCTCTATTTACTATTACTCTTTGTGTTATATTTGTCAGGAAGTTATTGATCCATTTACCAACATTTCCTATTATTCCTTTATCGCGCATTTTGTGCGCTATTACACCGTGGTCACACTTGTCGAAGGTTTTTGTAAAGTCTGCATTTTGTTTATCCTCTATAGCATCCAGGACCTTGTCTTAGTAGTCCAGTAGTTGGGGCATGCAGGAGCGACCAGCTCTAAACCTGTGTTGCCCTGGGTTGTGTACAGTCGACCCTCAACTAACGGCGGCATTAAGTAACGGCAATTTCGTCTAACGGCGCTTTTTGCCGTAGAAAAAAATGCCTTAACCAACGGCGAAAAACTTAACCAACGACGTTCATCTGGAACATGGCCTGAGTGGGCCCAGCCACTCCAAGACTCAGTGTGCCATTGTTTATAGGCTGTTGTGGTCGGTTTCCACATGTGCCTCCCATACATTTTGGAATATTCCACTGTTTCTAGTGCTTGTAACTGCTAAATAAGCCACCATGGGCCCCAAGAAAGCTTCTAGAGCCAGCCCTTTGGTAAAGGATGTGAGAAACATGATAGAATTCAAGAAAAAAATTGTAGAAAAATACGAAAGTGGTAGTGGTAGAGGGTGGTAGTGATGGTGGTAGAGGGTGGTACTTGTTGTGATGGTGGTAAAGGGTGGTACAGGTTGTGATGGTGGTAAAGGGTGGTTGTGATGGTGGTAGAGGGTGGTAGTTATGGTGGTAGAGGGTGGTAGTTATGGTGGTAGAGGGTGGTACTGGTTGTGATGGTGGGAGAGGGTGGTAGTGATGGTGGTAGAGGGTGGTACTGGTTGTGATGGGGGTGGAGGGTGGTACTGGTTGTGATGGTGGTAGAGGGTGGTACTGGTTGTGATGGTGGTAGAGGTTGGTAGTGATGGTGGTAGAGGGTGGTACTGGTTATGTTGGTGGTAGAGGGTAGTACTGGTTGTGATGGTGGTAGAGGGTGGTCCAGTGATTCTCAAGCTGGTCCTAGTGGCATTAAAAAACCAAGAAGGGATGTAACCCCACCAAAGGACTTCGTACCTGAAGTCTTTATGGAAAGGGATTCTCCTTCCAAGCTACTGACAATCCTGAATCTCCCCTGCTGCTGGCACATCACTCAACAACTCCACAATAAAGGTAAGTGGCATTTAATTTTTTTTTTATTTTGCATGTCCCATTCCTTTCCATATAAGGAAAAGTATATTTCATGTAAAAAAAGAAAAACTTGTTTTCAGACTTTTTCTTATGGGGAAAATTAACTCGACCAACGGCAAGCCCTCTGGAAGGGATTGATGCCGTTGGTTGAGGGTCCACTGTAATTGATGAGTATCTAGGTGGATGGAGATCTTGCTTCATAGAACCTTTTCAAAGATTTTTATGATATATGCTATCGGTTTGTAGTTCTTTGCAAATGCTTTACTGCCACCTTTGTAGAGTGGGGCTATGTCTTGTTTTCAGTGAGTGTGGGATGACTCCTGTGTTCATGCTCCCTCTCCACAGAATGCTGAAGGCATGTGGCAGAGACTTCTTGCAGTTCTTGTTCTACGCTACGCTTTTATCTTAAAATGTGTATCCCATTCGATATTCTTCCACGTTTAAAATTCATTGTGTATAAATTCTTAACTAAATTTCATCTGCCTCATTTATTTATGTAATATACTGGTATCAGTTATATATTTATAGTTCCTGTTCTAGACATACATAATCTAGAGTAACAACTCTGTTATGCAGTAGCTCTGAAAAGCCTATCTTTTACAGCTGCAGCTGGAAGTATGTGTGTGGAGATTCCTTCGCATGGGCTTGAGCATGGATCAGAGGTCCAAGTCACCCAGACATTCTTTTGATACCTTAAATCAGATCAGGAGGCTAGAATCGCTCACAATTTGCTTTCTGAATTGCAGGCTTTAATCCCATTCTTTTCATTATATAAGTGCACAGAATTATATTATAAGCAGACTTGCAACCACACGCAAGGCAACTATCTGTACGCCCACAAAAGGAAATCGTCACACCGAGCCGGCCATCCCGGCCTGCAGTCAGTTGCGAAGGTCAGGGCCCAATGGGTTCTTCGGCCTCGGGGGCAGAGTGGGGCCCAGTGTACTGAACCTTGGGTACAAGGTGGGAAAAATGAGCCATGGTGTATATTAGATAATTTAATCTGTATTACAGACCCCGACACACGCTGTATTAATTTATTTGTATTGTAACCATAATCTGTAAATGAATTAGAGAATTAGGCTTCTAAAAACAACTGACATAATTATTTGTCGAGGCTAATTTTTATTAAACGTTAGGCATCGTCTTTCATAAAGTAGACTACGAAAGCACGTTTATCAGGTGGGTTGGTCATTGTCAGAGAAACGTTAGTGGATTCTGAACCATCGTAGCTTGGCGATGTTGCACCACTGTGCGCTGTTTGCAAGCTGCATCCGACGCCTTCCTAAACATTTCTTCTTATGTCTTATTTGTAATCCATGACCATGTTTAGTTATGCATAAATATGATTAATGAAAGCATGTTTGACCTTGTTCGTGTATGGAAATTCTCAATACTTTCTTGGTAAACACACGGTAGCTGAAGTAGCTGCAGGAATTAAGGGAATATTTTTGACACGTTACTTGAACAGTTAATCTAATAAATGCACCGTAATTTCGCTGTATCTATAATGTATTATAAATTACAAATAATAAGGGAATGCCATTATCATTGTACAATTATGAACAAATGACGTCAATAGAGTTTTCCGGCAACTACGGGTTCATGCAGTGATATTACGGGTGGCACACAAC